GTGTTGCTTGTGTCAATCTACCTCCCACCCTCAGGATATCTTGGCTATCCATGAAAGGGTTCAACTTGTGCAGCTCGGTTGACTTGCTTTTTTGTATCTCTTTCTTTTGTGTAAGAGACTTGATCTCATCACTGAATGCTTCTTCTTGAACTACACGGATTATGAACCATTCAGCATCCTTTCTTTCTTCAAGTGTCGTAGCTTCATTAGATTTTGTTTTAAGACCTTTGGCTTCCTTTGCAAGACGTTTCAGTCTTGCTATGGCCCTTATGGCTTTCTTCCAATCTGAAAACTTCTGAAGCCGGTCTGATAGAGACCTCTCCTCCTTTGCCTTTGTTGTGTGAACCTGTGCTCTTTTAATTTCTGGGTCGTCCTCATTGAGTTCTCCCACCTTTATCTCTCCTTCCTTAGGAAGATCCTTTTGCCACAAGAAGCTAGGTCCCGTGAACCAGTTAGACTCTACAAGCTCCTTTGTGGTGAGTCCACGAGAGGCATGGTCAGCCGGGTTATCTTCTGAGGCAACATATTGCCACTGACCTGGTTTTGTGCTTGATTTGATCTGCTGGATCCGGTTGGCTACGAATACATGAAATCGTTTTTCATCATTATTAATGTAACCAAGGACAACCTTGGAATCGGTCCAAAAATATTCCTGTAGATCTTCTATCTCCATTTCTCTCCTTAGCAGATCACTTATCCTCGTGGCCACGACCGCAGCTGAGAGTTCCAGCCTTGGGATTGTTGTTACCTTCGTCGGTGCAACCCTTGCCTTCCCCATAACAAGAGCACAATGGACTTCACCAGACTTCGAAACAGCCCTGAGGTAAGAACACATTCCATAGCCAGAAACACTAGCGTCGGAAAAGTGGTGAAGTTCATTCTGCTGAACTTCCTTGGCTGTCAATGGTATGTAATGCCGTGGAATCTCCAACGAAGACAGATTGTGGAGGTCTTGGAGCCACGCTTCCCAATGTGGCCTGAGGTCGTCAGGAAGTGGCTCGTCCCATCCTACCTTGTCTTGGTACATCCTTTGTAGAATCTGTTTTACTTCAAAATGAGAGGCGACACAAATCCAAGAGGATCAAAAATTGAGGCTACTGTTGACAGTACTCCTCTTCTGGTAAAGGGATGTTTTTTTTATCTCCACCTTGAACTGGAACTTATCTGAGCTAATGCACCATTGGACCCCAAGAGCCCGTTTCATCTTGTGTTCTCCCAAGGCCATGTCAAGGTCAGCTGCACCTTCAGCACGTTCTTGCCTTGGGATTGTGTCAAGAACCTTCTTGTTGTTGGTAATGAATTTGTGTAGGCGGAGCTTACCAGTGTTACAGAGGTCTCTTGCCTCTCTGACGAGCTGGATAGCTTCTGCTTCACTGTCCAAACTCGTCAATCCATCGTCAACATAAAAGTTGCGCTGTATGAACCTCACTGTAGCTTCATTAAATTTGCCTTCTCCTTCTGCAGCCAGGTGCTTGAGCCCAAAGTTCGCGCATCCAGGTGACGATGCAGCACCGAACAAGTGAACCTTCATGCGGAACACTGATGGTGGAGCTTCCATATTGCCTCTTTCCCACCACAGAAATCGGAGGTAATCTTGGTCCCTCGGCGCGACATGAAATTGATGGAACATCCGCTCCACATCACACATGATGGCTACTTGTCCTTTGCGGAAGCGACACAAGACACCTACAAGAGTATTTGTAAGGTCAGGCCCGGTGAGAAGATGCTCATTCAGTGATATACCCTGAAACTTAGCTGAACAATCAAATACCACGCGAATCTTTCCTGGTTTTTGGGCGTGGTAAACCCCATGGTGAGGGATATACCATGTGGTCTGATTGGTTAACTCTGACTCTGGGACCTTTTCAGCATCATCTCTTGTTATTATGTCCTCCATAAAAGACACATAATCCTTGTGATATTGGTCATTTTTCTTGAGCCGTTTTTCCAGACACCTGAGTCGATGTTCTGCACACACTCTGTTGTTTGGCAGACTTGGCCTCTCTTCCTTGAAAGGCAATGGCATTTCGTAATGTCCATTTGGCTTCTGCTTGATGCCTTCTTTCAGCTTCGCCAAGAACTTAATATCTTCTTGTGATATTAGAACTTCTTCACTGAATTTCTCAGTAAAATCTGACTCAAAGACCTTGAGCATATCTGCCGGAGTAAGCATTTCCTTGACTTGAGTTCTATAAACAAAATGGACCTCAGACTTGAGCTTAGAAGAGGGTTTGGTAGCTGGCAGAACTTTCTTTATGACGACACGGTGGCTGACACCAATTTCATCCTCCTGGTCATAATCAACATGGGCTGCTGCAGCCGATAATGCTCCAACCCAACACAGACCTTTGTGCATACGGCTGGTTTTCATTGCCTGTGATGACATCTCTGGGAAGTAAGGCTTGGGGACAATTATAGCCGATTAACAATCCTACTTCACAGTCAAGTTCAGAGAACATTTCATCTGCCAAATGTTTCAAGTGAGCCAGTACTTTGCAGTTGCTGGTATATGGGATCTGTTTGCTGGTATGTAATCTCTGGTAAGGTTGTTGGGAGTTTGATTTTAATGTCAGAGCTGATGCCTCTTACCTGTAGTCCTTGCACCTTTTGGCTATTCACACTTTTGTCTGTGATGTTATTGTGGACACTTTAAGCTTTACTGGCTCTTTCTTGGCACACAATGTTTCAGCTGCATCTTTCAGGATGAAGGTTGTGTCGCTCTGACTATCAAGTAAGGCATACACTAGGACTTCCTTATCTGGTTCAGTTGTCGTGGAGACATAGACTGGAACAATGGATGAGGTATGAGTGCTGCTCTTCTCTTGAACAACTCGGTTAGAGGTAGCCTGCTGTGTTTCAATTGATTCAGACGGTTGGTTCTTGTCTTTGTTTTCATTTGACCTTTCTTGTTTGTTTCTTGCAGCTTGTTCTTGATCCTTTTTCCCACGATCTTGATGTAGGCATGTGGGGTGGCGTTTACCACATAAGTCACATACACTCCTAGATGTACAAGCTTTGGAGTTATGGCCAATCTTAAGGCAGCCAAAACACAACTTCTCCAGTTGTACAAACTTAACCCTTTCTTCAACTGGGTTCTCTCCGATAATGAGTGTGACACCTAAAGTTTGCCTCCGCACACCAACCCGATTATCGGCCGTTCGACGGTCGTCGGACAGTCAGGCGGAGGGTCGGTGTGCTCGAATCGGGTTCGGTGCTGTCCCGCCGTCTCAGTCTGCGTCGGCGGTCTGGGCGTCGGGCCTTCATTTTGCCGATTCTACATGTGAGGAATCGGGCCAGTGGCCGTCGGGCCTCAAGAGTGACCGAATCTGATTCGTGGAGGTGCTCGCCTGTTGACTAGCGAATCAGTGACGTGCACGAGAGAAACCGGAAGTGACGATGGTCAACAACACCAGTCATCTTGTGCTATTATTAGCCATCGTATTCCGGTTCAGCGATAACGAACAGATAGACGATCCTTGTTGGACTACTATCAACACGTCTCTGATGACCAAACAGAGACTGACGACAGCGGTGCTCTGTGTTTACTAGGTCTAGATGATCCGTCATTTCCAGTTTTAAATTTTTTTTGGGCGACAACACAATTAGCGCCGCCTTGCTGGTTATGGGGGACGTATTACGGCTCGCGCATGCGCAGAACGTGACGCTCCAGTTGGCGTCCGCGTTTGGTGGTGTCGGAAGGCTTTCTTTTGACCGACTGCGAGGGAGACGGGAGGCCGACTGATCAGTCCAACTGCTCTTCTGCCGGACGGTCGGCCGTCGGGGTTGGTGTGCGAAGACCTAAGGGGAGTGTGGCCTTTCTTCTTGCAAAAAATGCATGTAAAAGCTTGTCTTCTCACTTGTATTTGTGGTGAAAGTCTTTAGCACTGAAGTTTTCATTTATTTGATACTTAGACTGTTCTCTTTCTGTTGGCTTTGATCTTTCTTGGTCAGTTGGCTTCACTGCATATAATGATGTAATGGGGTTACATGCAATTCGAGCCTCAATGTTGAGAAATCTCACGAAGTGTCTGAAGTCAGGGAACATTTTGTGTTCATCTTGATAAATCGTGGCTTCTCTATTCCAGCGTGAGCTCAACCAATCCGGTAGCTTGAACCGTACTTTTGGTTTTCCACACAGTCGTTGAGGGTTTGTAGACCTTGAACATATGGCATAGCTGATTCCACGCTGGGAAAATCAACAAACTCACGAAGATTTTCAGTGTCTTTGGGGCCAATTTTATGCCATGTGTATATCTTGTCACGGTATGACTTGGCAACTATAAACGGATTACCAAATCTGTCTTCCAGTATGTCCCAGGCAGCGAGATAAGCTGTTTCTGTTCCTACAAGGAAATGTCCTTCAATAGCTCTCTTGGCTGAGCCACCAACATACTTGCGTAGAAAGAAGAGCTTTTCTTGAGTTGGCAAGTTCTTGCGATCAATCAGAGTACAGAAGGAAAGCTTCCAATCATTGTACTTGAGAGGATCTCCCTTGAAGACCTCAGGTTCTGGGATTGGAACTCGGTTAGCAGTGATCGCTTCAGCAAGAGTTCTCACAAAGTCATTAGAAACTTCATGCGAAGTTGAAAAGGCTTGAGTGGCAGAAACTTGAGTGGGTGGGGCTTGTTGCATGAGTGGAAGTGCAGCTGGGGTGATGACTTGACTAACAGGGACTTGATTAAATGTGGCTGGCTGTGGAACCAAATGTGATGTGTACATGGAGGGATATGGAAGGGGGTTTTGGGGAGCTGTGACCTCATGTGGGCGATGGACTTGACTGGGCTTGGCTTGTTGAGCAGGAAGAGCTTGGGAAACTGGTGCTTGATGGGAGGGAAAAAATGGATCAATTAAAGGGTTAAGTGTAAGTGGTGGGTGGAGTGATTCTGAATAAACTTGCAGCCTTGCTTGTGCTGCAACATGCCCTTTAAGTTCTTCTAGCCGTTCTACTTCTCTCCTTTTCCCTTCTAGCTTCATTTTTCTATCAGCACTTTCTGCTATGAACTGAGCTCTTTTTCTAGCACTGTCTGCTTCAATTTCCCTTTCTTTAGCTTCTCTTTCAGCCTTTAAGATTTGTTCTTCCACTTCAAGTCTTTGAATTTCTTCCTTTTGTTGATGTTGTGCATTTGTTATCTTTATCACCTCTTGCGTAGCTACAACTTCAGCTTCTGCTTGTTTTGCATTCAGGGACAGGATGGAAGAGTGTCTGGATGCCTTGGATGAAGCCTTTGATTTAGCGGTTTGAGCTGAGGAGACACTAGACACTGTGCTGTCAAACACTGACTTAGCATCAGGCCAAGATATGTCTTCTGAGTTATCA